GAAGTCTAAATTACGTGTGCGAAAGAAGTTGGTTCAGATGCCATCAAGATTTTAATGATCTTTAATTTACTGCAGAAATTTCTGTCAACACATATAAAGTCATTAGTAGAAGGGATAAAATTCACATTTGAATCGGAAAATGAACAAGCAGAATTAGCTATGTTAGACTGTAAACTCAAACGAATAGAAGAAGGTTGACTGTACACTAGTGTTTATAGAAAACCAACACATTCTAATAGGTATTTAGACTTTAATTCGTCTCATCCGTTATCTGTAAAGGCAGGCTTAGTTAAGTGTCTAACAAACCGAGCAATAGCACTAAGTAGCACAAAAAGAGACCTAAACGATGAAATGAAACAGATAGAAGAAGCATTGGTATCAAATAACTATCTTATAAAGTTCATTAGGAAGATCAGATAAGGCCAACAGCAAAATAAAAATATTGGAGAAACTAATAATGATAACATAAATAAAATAGAATATAAGGCATCTGCTGTGGGTTTACCATATAAGGAGGGGACATCTGAAACCCTCTCTACGTAGGATTCTCAATAGAGCAGGAATTGAGGTTGCATTTAAAGCTACAAACTCACTCAGAGACAAGCTCTGAAGGTTAAAACACCCTGTAGGTTGACCCCATTAAACAAAATAATATAATTTACCTTGCAATGTCTGTGAGTTAGGTGAACTATTGAGGTCAAACAAGTAGATTAGGGATAATGAGATTATAAGAACATAAGAATTTAGCTAAGATTAGAATGATTGATCCCAGAAATTTAAGTGATTTAGAAAAAAGCACTCCTCGATTGCACTGCATGCATTAACACACAACCACACAATAGTGTAGGAGAGGATTAATATTCTAAGAAGTAATATAAGTAAGTGTGAAGAGAGGTTGATTACTGAATCCTGGTTCATTGAATCTACACCCAACACATGCAACAGAAATGACTCAATGCAAATACCAGAAATATAGAAGATATTATTACCGCCAGTCAAACCAGAGGAGGATTATAAATAATCTTAAAATTCTATTTCGATTCACGTACATCATAACATTCTAACAAGTTACTTATTTCGACTATAAAAACACTCATCTTATTTCCCATCTGATTGTAATTGATCAACAACACTCATATTATTATTTCTGAATGTACATTATCCCGTATTTATTTTTAGTCAAATGTCTAATCATCAATTTCATTCATGTATATAAATGAAGGAAAAAAGTTGTGTGAGTAACTTGATATGATTATGAGTGGCAATAGTTTGTGCTCGGAACTTGGTCATCAGTAAATATTACTTTATAACACACTGTGTGATTTATCAAAATAAAATCTTATGCATAATGGAGTTATACTCTACCACAGTGCCCAAGTTTTATACTTATATCTCTAATTTTATTTGATATTCTATTTAGTATTACATATTTATGCTTATTATAACATATGCATCCTTCCTGAACTGTAATTCCATTGATCTTAACAAATCAATAATATTTAATTAAAAAAGCAACAATTCTGTTAATGGCCATTATTCTAGAATATAATATATATATACGTATGTATGTAATTTTAGAGCCCGAAGAGGAATTTATCAAAAATTACATTCTTTTCTCGAACCTTCTTTTGTCTTCTGAATGTCTAAATGGGAATTTTCAATATATATATTTCTTTGTGTGTAATTACACTTTGCTTGGTTTAATGAAATATTCATTACCTACATTGGACACTATTTGGTAACTAGTGTAATGTGTCTAGTCCTTTGTTTGTTGCTGACTGAATACAATCAGTCAAGTTTGCAATGTAGCCAACATCAAGCTAGGTGGCTCGCCATCACGCTGCACTCTTAATTGTTGGTATTAGATGGTTAGGGGCAATCGGAAGGAATCCCAGCCATGCTTTTTGGTACTTGTCCGTCATCAAAGTGTATCTGTAACCTTGAAAGGAATCATGTCCCCTCTGAGATTCGAATCCGTGTCATCCAGTTGTGGAGTAACAGAAGTTACCAATGAGCTATTTGGTTTCGTGATTGACCTCCTGTAGGACTGTATTGGGTACTTCTATTGAACACTAGGTAGGAACTAGAGTAATATGTTTAGTCTTTTGTTTGGCGTAGGCTGAATTTTGTCAGCAATACTTGATTATGTCGGTTCGAATCTCAAGAGGGACATTACTTCCTTCAAAGTTCCAGATATGTCGCGCTGAAGAGTGCCAAGCGGCATGAAACATAAGTCAGTCTGGGCTTCCTGCAGATTGCTTACAACCATCTAATATCAACAAAATATTTAGTATTTTAAGAAAATGATTCACTATATAAAAAAGGCGTTGCATATTTCAAAGTGTTAGGTAGCGAAATTCAGAAGGTGATTCTATTTGTGACTCATCTACTAGGTGTAACTACCTACAGTATAATGTATCGATTTTCTCATAGAGATTTGGACTGCATATACTGAGACTTTGTCCAATAGTAGGAATAGTAGCAATTATTGAGAAATAGACAAATCCAGTCAACATGTCATACATAGGAAGAAACTCAAGTTTTCAGTCCAACTGCTAGCCACTGCATAGTACAAGAAGGATCATTTTACTACGGTGTTATCAGATAACAGAATTATAATTTTCCTGTTACTGGGGACTGTTTAATGATTTCGTGCAGAATGCGTTTACTGTATTTCGTGTCCGTGTGCATATGGGTGTGTGTGTGTGTGTGTGTAGGTACTGAAGTTGTTAAGTGGATGATGTGGTTAGCTGAGTGGAAGCGTTCTGGGCCTATAACCCAGAAGTCCATAGATTGAAACCATGCTCTGCCAACAGATTTAGAGGCCATCCTTTCATACATGCTCATATGAGAAGAGAAATCTCTACTAATACTCATGCCTCTCTTACTTACCAAGCCTGTGTGTCGTCCGTTCAACCACTCATCAGTCGGATAGACTCATTCATCAAAGCTTGACACAGTGGAGTCGTTGAATGTGCCGCTCAGCCATTTCACTCACCAACCGATTCTCTGTGTCTCCGCATTTTGTCCAACTTCAATTTTTGCTAACCAGAATGATTGACAGCGGTGGGTAATTCTGTGACCAGGTGATCACTGCTTGTCTATTTCTCGGTTTGTCTTTGTCACTATCTGTGCATCCGCAGGCACATGTGTGTGTTTGTGTGGTCGCATGTGAATGTACATGTTTGCCTGTCTGTGTAAGTGTAGGTGAATGAGGATATCTGTGATGTTTCGCTGTGAAACATGGTCTTCTCCTTTCTGTTGTTATCGAGCTTCCAGTCTGATGGCTGGATTTCTCAGTATTACGCAATCTATCAACCGTGTGTCACAAACAAGCCAGTACGGATAAGATCAACATGTCTCTACTGCACAGTGTTTCAACTCTACCAGCTCTCAATCACCAACTATCAACCGCCGATAAACACTGAACTAACAAACTTTCAACACCAAGCTCAAAAAAAATCACCGAATCGCTTAACTAACTAACAAACGATCAATCTAACAGCTAAACGATCAACTAACTGATCAGATTTCATCCAACCGGATCAGATATACCTCAGATATGTGAAAGAGTCGAAGACTCACTTATGAGAAACACTACGCGTCTACTGGGATTTGTTCAACATCCATCCGCCTGTCAGAGGAAACATCGAAGTCCTACTTTCGGTTTCATTATTCTACTCATAATACTGGGAACTCGAGTCACCAGTCACGATAACAACAGAAAGCAGAAGACTACGTGGTACAACGAAACATCACAGATATCCCCACTCACCTGCACTAACAGAAACAGGCAAACATGTACATTCACGTGCACAATTACACACACATTTATAGAAAATGAGATCCTTCCGTCTTGCTAAATATGTTGTTCGAGTTTATTAGTGGAGAGGGTTTTTGTATGAATCTTTTTAGACTTTCGAATTTCATGGGATTATGAAAAACTGTTCACAGAATTATTTTTGATAACTCAATATTTTCCGAGTCACTGGTAGCTAAAATTTGATTGTGTTCAAAAAATAATCAAAACTGAAGAAAGCGCATTGACGATTTTGTAACACCCCTAAGTAACAATGAATATGTAATGTTTAAAACAGCAATTTGTGATAACTCGGCGAATTCTATTTTGTTTCGTATACAATGAATTCTATCAGTCAAGTTTGCAATGTAGCCAACACCAAGCTAGGTGGCTCGTCATCACAGTGAACTCTAAATTTTTGTAAGTAGATAGATGGAGTCAATTGTCAGGAAGCCCTGTCTGACGCAGATTTCATGCTTGTTGTTACTCAGCAGTCAGCAAGGTGTGTATCTGCAACCTTGAGGGAATTTATGTCCCTTCTGAGATTTGAATCCGTGTCAGCTAGCAGTGTAGTCAGTCAGAGACGTTACCAGTGAGCTGTTCGGAATCCATGGTAACTTTAAGGTGAACGTAATAGTCAGCAATGCAGTGGAAAATAGTCAGGAATATCTAGCAACCAGAAACTCTTGCTGCGAACAAACCATCAGGTGAGAGTCGATTGCTCAACAACTTTGTAGGATAAAATGTAGATAGATTGGGTATACGTTGAGGAGGCCATCGAATGACATCGCGCACAATGTAGGCTGTCGCTCGAGTGGAATCCCAATGGGATTCAACGAGTGGGTCGTCGGTGCTAGGGTGACATGGACGAGATCCTGTGGTGAGGAGGGGATGAGAGATTATGGTCAGTCGTGGAACCAGCCATTTGAAGAGGACAGCCGAAAATAGAAGAAAGTGAAGATGTGGAGTCCTATGTTCCAGTCGGAACCTAAAGGAATAAATGAAGTTCCACACATACTAAACATATTGTGAGCTTGATACTCATTGTGTTCGAATTCACAGTTTTAAAATTCATCTTCGCTTTCTTGTCAGCTACTAATAAATGTGTCAAGCTAATAAAATAAATGACTTTCTTATCTGTTATGCATTACGACAAAGGCTAACATTTAAAACTTTTCCTTTTGCATCTTTTTTTTTCCAGATTTAAATTATGGATTGATGAGGTGTCTCGTTTGTTTGGAGGTTTGGATATCTGTTCGATTGATGCTCTACAGTCGAAAAGTGGTGAATATTATATTTATGAGGTAATTAAATACGCTATAATAAATGTAAATAGGATGATAGATATTTAAATATCGCTTTAAAATACCCGTTTTTACAGCTATTAATTAGATCTGAAGTCAGTTCTTATGTACGGATCAGAGAATTGGCAGGTCACAAAGAATATTTCCAACAGCCTGTTGCAGACCTTTATCAAAAACTGTCTTCACTCTATACTGAAGATCAGATGACCGGAAAGAATCACCAACAAGAAACTATGGGAACAAACAAAACAAGAACCAATCGCCCAACAAATATGTAGGAGAAAGTGGAGATGGATTGGACACTCGCTGAGCTGTGGAGGCCGCTGGGTGACATCGCGCGTCAGGCCATAGCTCGAGTGGAACCCGAAAGGGAAGCGGCGAGTGGGACGTCCAAGGGTGATATGGGGGAGATCGTGTGAAGAGGAGTTGAAACAGTATGAACTAACATGGATGCAGGTGAGAAGTACAGTAGAAGACAGAAGCAAGTGGAGACGTGCAGTTAGAGCCCAATGTTCCGCTAGGAACTCAAGGGAATAATAATAATCAAATAATAATAATTATTAGATCTGAAAGCAGGATTTGTGATGAACCTACAGGAGTTAGAGAACAGTTTTAAACCACAGAATATCGAGCTTTTTGTATTTCCCATTGAATGGAAAACAAAACTATAATTCTGTTTTTACTCACTTTCCTCTATTTATTGCTGCAAATAGCTTCATCAAAGTAATATTGTTAAACTGGAATTTATTAAATCTCAGCTTATATTATTATTATTGTTCCCTTGGGTTCCTAGTGGAACATAGGGCTTCAACTACACGTCTCCACTTGCTTCTGCCTTCTGCTATACTTTTCAGCTGCATCCATGTTAGTCCATACTGTCTCAACTCCTCTTTACACGATCTCCTCCATGTCACCCTTGGACGTCCCACTCGCCGCTTCTCTTTCGGGTTCCACTCGATGGCCTGATGCGCGATGTCACCCAGTGGCCTCCTCAGCGAGTGTCCAATCCATCTTCATTTTCTCCTGCATATTTGTTGAGCGATTGGTTCTTTATTTTTTTGAGTATAGCTTGATTCCACACCGTAATTTTAGTACAGGTATGGAATTTCCAGCATGTGATATCGGTAGCCCAAATTTTGCAGGCCAACCATTGGTATCAGGTGTGCGTCGGTTTTGTTTGTTACCATAGTTTCTTGTTGGTGATTCTTTCAGGCCATCTGATCTTCAGTATAGAACGAAGACAGTTGTTGTTGATAAAGGTCTGCAACAGGCTGTTGGAAATATTCTTGGTGACCCGCCAAGTTTCTGATCCGTAAAGCAAAATTGACTGACTTGACGTTTGTATTGAAAATCCGAATTTTGTTGTTGATGGAGGCTGAGTGACGAAGATTTCCAGATTGGTTTCAGGTTGATGAATGTGTTTCTCGCCTTCCCGATTCTCGCTCGATTTGACATCCTCGTCCGTTCCTCCTGTGGTTGAGACAATGCTCCCTAGATAAGTGAATGAAGTAACCTCTTTGAAATCCCTCCCGTTGATGGTGATTGGCACTGGATGTTGCTGTTGTTGTTGTTGTTGGTTGGTTATTTTCATAACCTCCGTCTTGTCTATGTTCACCTGGAGTCCTGTCTTTGCTGCCAGCCTCTTCGACCAGTTTGTCGGTTTTCGCTTGTAAGTCTTCCATTTTGTGTGACGAAGACGTATTCCTAAGACAAGGACGTCGATAATTGTCATTCCATACAGATCAGAAATGTCACAGGATATCAGAAGAGTACTCAATCAGCACAACATCAGTGTTTTCTTCAAAACATTGGACACATTAAAAAGCGACCTTGTTCGTTTAAAAAACCTAAATCCAAAAGATTTACAATCTAATTGTGTCTATAAAATAAAGTGCCTAGGATGTGATGTGATGTACATCGAACAAACCTTACCAGAGAGAAGTCAAGATCAGAAGAAATGAACACAGAAGAGTCTCTATTGGACTACTGAAAAACCCAGTTGAACAAGAAAAGCTTGAAAAACCACCAGAATCAGGCCAGAGAACCATTTTTAATAACATCACATCAAAATCATTCAGAAAAATTTCACAAGGAATGTCTCAAATCAGAGGCACTTCATATTGAATGGAATCAGAATTGTCTGAATAACAGGAATTGTGGACTTAGAGAGAATTTGACATGGTTCCAACACCTCGTCAACCCTCATGGAGTGGCAAAATCAGCAAAATACAAGGCGACTTTATAATTCCATACACTTATGAAATACAGCAAACTCATCAACTCACCCATTAGACCATGTAAAAATTACCTCGTTCTGAGGAACGATGATTAAGTTACTGTATATAAGCTGAGATTTTGTAAATTCTCGCTTTATAATATTACTTTGATAAAGCTATTCGCCGCATAAAATAGCGAGAAGTGAGCGAAAACAACAGTGTCGCTTTGTTTTTCACTCATTTGGAAATACAAAAACTTTAATACACCCAATACCCAAATGTTTTTTCAAACGATTAAATGTGAACTTGTTTCTGACATTTGTATCTATATCCATGTTGTTCTTGTTTCATAATTCGCTAAGTTACCTAAAACAACATGTTAGCAACAAAAGGGATGTTTCGAATAAGGGTGGAAGTCTATGTACACACACACATACACACACTCACTCGAGCCCAAAATAGTATTTAGTCGTGAAAAGATGCTTTCTACATCATGTGAATATGTTGACGTAAAAGTCATTATATTTGAAACCAATAATAACGTATCATACTCTTTCGAACTCCAATTATTCAAGTGTTCGACATTTTATTCTGATTTCCAGTTCAGCTAAGGTTAGTAATGCCTGATCGCACCCAGTATCTAAATGTTGTTCAGTGCCTAAATTGAGAAATCTTAAGAGGTGTGAACTTAAGATGATATTGTTTGTATTAGATACTCATCTAAGTAAGTGAACTTCATTGCATAATGATAAAAAGATGTTTTTCCATTCCTTTGAGTTCAGAGGGGCAAATAAGGCTTCAAAAGAACGTCTCCACTTTATCCTATTTTCTGCGGTCCTATTTAGCTGGTCCCATTGTTGTCCATAGTCTCTCATCTCCTCTACTCAAGCCCTCCTGCATGTCAACCTTGAAACTACACCCAGTTCATCGTTTTTCATTCGGATTCCACTTCAGGGACAGCATGGCGAGCGATGTCATTCGATGGTCTCCTCAACGTGTGTTGTGTCCAATCCATACCCATTTTCTTCTACATATTTGCTGATCTATCGGCTCTTGGTTGGTTTGTTGCCAGACTTTCTTGTTGTTTTAGTTCTTTCTGGCCCACCGGCCATTCAATCTTCAGTATGAAGCCAGCGAAATGGACAGCTGTTGATAAAAGTCTGCAGCAGGCTGTTCAAAATGTTTTTCTTTAAGCACACTGCAAGTTTCTGATCCATATAGAAGAATCAACGGACTTAGCATTGGTGTTGAAAATTTGAATCTTGTTGTTTATGCTGAGTCCATATGATTTCGAAACTTATTTCCGATTGATGAAAGTGTACCAACTAAATGAGGTTTAAGAGTGCATCAGTCTTGGATTGAACCCTTGACCACATACATGATTAGCGAACGTCCTACCATTGCACTAGCACTGACACACCAAGAAAGACGTAGAAAACTTTTATTTGGCCAAGTTGAACTTTAAGACCCAGTAAGTACCACTGGAGTGAGACCGCACCAATGACCTTGAGGCTTCCAGTCAGCGAGTTTTTTAAACCAGGTAGATAACATTAGAATCATGAATAAAACATGCTTGATGAAGTGTTTTGATATTAAACAGGATATGTGGTAAGTTTTTGGTAGGTTTGGGAATGATTAAGTTAAGGTTTACGCTGAAGACATGTAAGGGTTAGAGTAATCTAATAAAGGAGGCATTAGGATTGATCTGAGTCAGATTAGGTTCACTTACGGGATAGTTTTGTGTTAGCGCTAGGTTAAGGAAAGATTAGGATTGAAAGACTTAAATGAATACATGCATAGAATGTGGTGTCATAACTCTATTGACACTGCAATCCGAAATTCGGATGTTAGCAAAAGGTTTCCTGTATAACATTTTAATGCCATTTATTCAATATTTTCATAAACATACCTACTTTATAGTGAAAAATGGCCTTTTTCGTGTGCGATGGTGCGTTCATTTGTCATTTGTCCATTGATACTCACTGGTGTTTAAAGTTCAAATTCACCGTTTATTTACTGGAACTTATGGATTGTTTATAAGGTGTACACAATTCATTATGATGACGCTGGCCAATTGAAATTTGATACAGACAGATAAAGAAATGGATACCTACATTTCTGTTCGTCTGCATCGCCTTTAACATCTGAAATACAAGAGATTCAAGAGAGATGTTAGGTAGCTGGAAGAAGACGATATGTTTGATATCCTTATGGAAAGTGTGATTACAGTTCTAATCATTCATTTAATCACTGCGAATACTTCTGCTCAAAATATCACCGTAATTAAATGGTCATTTAATGCAACTGGTTCCCTTTATGAATTTCTTAAACGGTCATTACTGATTTAGCGAAACTATATACTATTGATTTTAATTGTGGTGGACTGGATTATGCGTCAGACTGTGCACTGGGAGTGAGAAGACAGTAATACGTTGGACCACTAATAAGAAGACTCTAGATGATCTGCACTTCGCGGATGATTTATCTCTAATGTCACGCGAACTGGAAGACATACAGGCAAAAACCAACAAACTGGTTGAAGGGGCAAGCAGCAAAGACAGAACTGCATGTGAACATATAGAAGACAGAGGTGATGATAACCAACCAATTAATGAAGCAGCAACCAATCGCCATCAACGGGAGAGATTTAAACGAGGTCATTTCCTTTACTTATCAAGGAAGCATCGTTCCAACTGCAGGCTACAGAACAGATGAAGATATCAAAGCCAGTGGGAATCAAAAAATGCCAAATACAATACGCCTTCATCACTCGGAAATCAGCTC